CTACGGCTGCTGCAGATTCGTCCCCATCGACTGCCGCCTCATTAACTGCTACGAATGCGACATCAAGTACTGTGGACACTGCTGCGGTTTCGCCAAAGAATCCAAAACAGTTTCATAATGTAATACTATTTTCATTGATATAATTAACAAAAATAAATTGTGATAACAATTAATTGTTTAATTCATAATTCAAATTCCATTGATCTTTTTATATTCCTACTAGTTTCTTTATTCCATTTCAGAGATAGTACAATAAATACTTTTGTGTTACGTTTCTTTATTATTCTTTAAGGCATTTCAATTATGTTTAAATGTCTTTTATTTTATTCTAGGCTGAAATAAGCATTAACGTTTTATCTGTCCTTGCATAGGTAACAATATACTTTTCTTAGACGATAATATTTGTATAATTCATTTTACAAATACTGAAATTTTTGGTGCATCTACACCTATCCAAGATGCAATGGATATTAATTTTATTTGTTAGAAAAAAATATCTAAAAATTGTAATAATTTGTTATAAATTCAATCTCAGACAAAGAACATTGTTCAAATAATTTATTTTTTAATTAGAAAAAATATGATACATGTTTTGTTGATTATATATCATCATCTTATCATTGATTATATATTATCATAAACTTTAAATTACCTCTACTAATCGGTAAATATGCAAAACAAAAGAAATATATTGCATACGTTAAATAAAAAATTCAATATATTCTGCAAAGTATGTTTGAATTAGGTTTTATTATTATAATTATATCATTTTTTATAGAGACTTTCTTAAACGACCTCCGTATAGAATAAACGAAATTAAATTTTAAAAAATAAATAAGAAATAAAATAACGTATTTTGTAAAAGTGTTTAATTTTTTTGGACAGTTTAATTATTGCATTAATATTTGTTCTTTAATACAATCAATATAATGTACTATATCTACTTTATATCACGTTATACCAATAAATCATTATAACTAAGCAATTAATGAGCACTGAATGGTTTGGTAGAGGTCTGTTTTTACCTACGGCAGTAGCGCTTTTCTGCCGCTTCAGTGTATTTTCTACGGAACTGCTTCAAACATTTTAAAAAATGCTGTTAACTTGTTTTTTGGTTGTCAAATCTCAGTGATCAAATTTAAAATCTAAACGTTCGTACAATCATAGTGGGACATCATTCAACAAAAAATCTTTGAATAGAAACTAAAATTTGAATAGAAACATAGGTCGTAGTAAAATATTTAAAATATGTAAAATAATTCTCACTGATATATATCAGAACTGTTTTTTCACAGCATTTTACATCATTAATTTGAGATTTTTCGGGATTTCAATACCTTCCTAAGAAAGCTCTGTTTCGGTTAGTCATACGCAGGTATATTTCTGATCATTGGTCATTCACGGTCTCAGCGAGTTTCTCGATCCCCTCTTGCTTTGTCCGTTTACTTCCAAAGACAGTTATATTATCGGTGTATCCATGGATACAATAATTAATTACAACGTGGACTCATCCATTTTCATGAGATGTTTCTATCAACTTCTTCAGGGCTAAGTTGAATAACATCATTGAGTTATCCATCATTTAAAAAATAACTAAACACCGAAATATTTTTACACTTGTGTAATTGATAAATCACTAGCCTGAATTATCGATTGAATGAATCTTAACTGAATGCATTAATTTAAGTGTATCTTGTTGTTTCTTGTGAAACTCCCAAATACATCAAGTTGTACAAAAATGTCTAATTATTTAAGTTTATTTTTTTATTGCCTGTATAATAAAAGGTTTATTTTCTATATTTTCATAACTTATTATCACTTAAGCAGCATCAATAAGAGGTATTTTTAACATACTGCACATACTCTCGCTCGACATTAGTAAAGAAATTAAATTTTTATATATTCTGGACGTCATTTCATCAATTTAACTTGGATTTAGCTCTACCAAAACATATGTTCTTTTTTTTTTTGCTTTTCTATCTCAGTCAAGAATTATTTTATCTATGCTCTCTCCTTTTTCTTTTTCATTTAGCTAAACATTAATAGGCCTTTACCGAAACGTTACAAAAATTGCGGTCTGAATTATTGAATTCACTAATAAAGAGCTTTAGTGGATCTAAGATGAGTTTGCGGGAGAGTAGGGGAGGGGGGAAGAAAGATGCTCAGTAGAAAAACATTTTCCCGTTGATCTCCCACTCTTCACTACTCACTCCTTCGTCTTTCTACTGTTAAAAATTTCTTTCTTCAATTGTTTTATGATTTCTTTTACCAATTTTTGTATAATATCTCATAAATAACTAGGTAGAGAGAAAACTATCCACCCTAAAATCGCAAATTAAAATCGCAAATCCTTGACCTCATTTACACATAAATTTATTAATTCACATCCTCAGCAATAAATCTTCCAAATATGTGTAAACAATGTTAACGTTTTTCAGATCTGTCAGGCCCATTTAATGTTATCCTACAGATAATTATATATCGTCCACTTTGTTTATGTGTGCAAATAAGTGAATTCACTTATCTGAATTTATATACAAATTCAAAGGTCTATCAGTGCATCTTCTTTATTGTAATTTTGTGTCTAAATAATCCTGCATTTTAATTTATTCCTAACGACAGACAATTGTCATTAAATTGTACTTTGTATTTATTCTAAGTGCACTTAATCACAGAATAAGATTTATTTTTCTTCTTCTTACTGTCAATTAGGTTTTTGCACGTAACTGTTAAAAACACGATTAAGAAACTGAGTCACTGATTCCTGGAAGTCTTCAGTGCGGCTGGAAGAGTGGCACTCAGATCTCCTGGATTCCTGCTTACCCTTTCACATGCGTGTGGGGGGGGGGGAGGGAGAGCCAGGCTCGGAGATTCTTGGGCGTAGTATATTACACGGTGGGCCAGACTCCCCTACCGTGCACCCTCCCCTCCACATCCATGGTACATTATATTCATTGTATTAACGACAAATATTATGAATTATTAATTAAACAATTAATTGTTATCACAATTTATTTTTGTTAATTATATCAATGAAAATAGCTTTACATTATTATACTGTTTCGGATTCTTTGGCGAAATCGCAGCAGTGTCCGCAGTACTTGATGTCGCAGGTGAGGCAGTTGACGCGGTAGCAGTCAATGGGGATGCCTCTACAGCAGCCGTAGCAGTTGTCTAGACTAAAGTAGCAGTTGTTGCAGTCAACACCAACGCAGTACGGGTTGTATTTATCACCCACATCTTCCTATTAGAAAAATATATTTAATATGAGGGTTGTTCGTAAACATTATTTATTCGTTATAATATAACGACTTCCTTTCTTTAAATATGAAATATGGCTGTTGTCATTTCCAAGGACTATGACATAAATCTGTATATTCTAAACCCTTTTTTATTTCTCTCTACTATATGAACCTTTCAGTTGACAGAATGACGAATTGAATTGAAAGTTATTATAAACAATTGGTAAGCTCTCTTGCAGTTTTACGAAAACTTAGAATAAAGCTCAACTTACAAATGTGAGAAAGAAATAATAGAACTATAAAGTAAAAATAAACTGTACGAAGCAAAAACAAAAATGAAATTTATTTTCTATCTTTTGTAGCTTGGTCGTTTTAACTCTGAAGAAACACTTGAAAGTGATTCCGACACGTTTGCTTGAAATAAAAATAGTTATTATTTTTATTTTAGTTTTTTTTATGACCATCACCTCGGACCCTCTCCGCACTCAATAATATAAAACGGTCAATCATCAAGTATTCAACACTTACTTTTACTGTAATTACAAACAGAAATGTAGATAAGTGAAAGTAAAATGAATTAAATTTTTAATTTACTTGATAATAAAAGAAAATAGGAATTGTCACTAAATATAAAATAATGTTAAGTTAGAGATAAGCATAAATAAAACAATGCTGACATATTTAATAAAGGAAATAATATTTATCTCAGTTAAGAAATTTAAGTTACTGTCATAATTGCTTAACAATCGGAATAAATTAAACAAAAACAAAATATACTTAGTGTTAAAAATAGAATTCCCACAATATAAAAAAAACAAAGATTGAATAACTTTTAGTAGCATCCGTAACTCCCTCTCAATAAAAATAGAGATAGAGAGAAAGTATCGTTTCAAATTTTCCTTTATCAATATTTCGAAGTAGGAAAAAATAAAAAGAGTAAAATGAGACCTGTAAAACATAAAAAAAAAAAACAAATGCATGCAAAAGAAAATAATACTAAATAGAAATGTTTAATAAATCAAAAAATAGAAAATGAAAAATCCCCTTTTGAACGTTTACAATTTATTGAGATAAAAAAAGAAGATATAAATTTATATAAAAGTTGGGATAAACAATATTGGAAAGCTACGAGAAAAATAAAACATAAAAAATAACATCCAGAGAAAATAAAAAGAAATTAACCATTAATAACAAGTATAAATAAACTCACGAGGATAACAGAGTCAGTAACTCTGTCACGTTCAATTACAATCAATTCAAGCACTTCAATTATAATATATAATATATTCAATTATAACCAGTGAGGTGTTATATGTGGGTCTATGAGTACGTCTTATATCCCTTTCCAAAATATTTAGTGTCCTATTTTGTGTGGTTCAGATTTCTCTCCAAAGACGTATCATATACTAGTGCAAGTTGGCTATGGGGCTTAGTTAACACAATTCGCTAAAGTGATATACGAATAAATACCATTCCTTTCTTTCCAAAGATTTATTGGAGGGGTTTTAACATTCTCTATGATGTTAATAAATTTAAAGCATTTCGCTTAATATCAATAATAATAATAATAAAACGAATTGAAAATACAATTAGTATTAATTTTAAAATAAAATTTATTTAGTTAATTATTTCAGTATGCAACATAAAAAACTTGTTTTTAATTTATATTTAACTGATTATTTCTATGTTTTTAATTAGAAGACCAGAACCCCATAATTCAGTATTTGTAAAATGAATTATACAGAGATTATCGTCAAAGAAAAGTATATTATTACCTATGCAATGACGGATAATTGATGACATTTTTTTTTCTTGAATTGACTTAAATCTTAATAAAACTTTAATGCTTATATCAGCCTAGAATAAAATAAAAGACATTTAAACATAATTGAAATGCCTTGAAGAATAATAAAGAAACGTAACAGAAAAGTATTTATTGTACCATCTCTGGAATGGAATAAAGAAACTAGTAGGAATAAAAGAAGATGAATGGAATTTGAATTATGAATTAAACAATTAATTGTTATCACAATTTATTTTTGTTAATTATATCAATGAAAAGAGGTTTACATTATTAAACTGTTGCGGATTCTTTGGCTAAAAGGCAGCACTGTCCGCAGTACTTGATGTCGCATTCGTAGCAGTTAATGAGGCGGCAGTCGACGAGGAAGTCTTTACAGCAGTCGTAGCAGTCGTGTAGACTATAGTAGCAGTTGTTGCAGTTAACACCAAAGCAGTTCGGGTACGGGAAGCGCTTTTCACCCGCTTCATCCTAAGGAAAAATATATTCAATATGAGTGTTGTTCGTAAACATTATGTATTCGTTATAATATAACGACTTCTTTCTTTAAAAAATTATGAAATATAGCTGTTGTCATTTTCTCGGACTATGACATAATTCTGTATATTCTAAACGCTTTTTTATTTCTCTCTAGTATATGAGCTTTAAAGTTGACAGAATGACGAATTGAATTGAATGTTATTATAAACAATTGGTAAGCTCTCTTGCAGTTTTACGAAAACTTAGAATAAAGCTCAACTTACAAATGTGAGAAAGAAATAATAGGATTATACATTAAAAATAATGGACTGTACGAAGGAAAAACAAAAATGAAATTTATTTTTTATCTGTTGTAGCTTGGTCGTTTTAACCCTGAAGAAAAACTGGAAAGTGATTTCGACACGTTGGATTGAATTAAAAATAGTTGTTGTTATTATTTTTTTAAAACTTTTTTATGACCATCACCTGGGACTATTTCCTCACTTAATAATATACAACGGTCAATCATCAAGTATTCAACACTTACTTTTACTGTAATTACAAACAGCAATGTAGATAAGTGAAAGTAAAATGAAATACATTTTTAATTTACTTGATAATAAAAGAAAATAGGAATTTTCACTAAATAAATAAACCAAGATTGAACAACTTTTAGTAGCATTCGTAACTCCCTCTCAATAAAAATAGAGACGCCAAGGAAGTTTCGTTTCAAACTTTCCGTTCAAAATATTTCGAAGTACAAACATAAAATCAATGCGTGAATAAATAAAATAAAATAAAATGGCTTAAGCTAAGGCCTTGAATTGAGTTCGCAAATATTTTACTACGGTCTATGTTCTTATTAAAAATTATAGTTTATATAGAAAGATTTTTTGTTGAAAGATGTCCCACTATGAGTGTATAGATTTTAAATTTGATCACTAAGATTTGACGACCGAAAAACACGTTAACAGCGTAAGTAAATAGACCGATTTGCTTACACCCGACCGAAGTACTTGAAAAAATGTAATTTAAGCACTTTTACTAATTATTTTTTGTTTATTTATTATATTTTAAAATAATCATAATATAACAGGCATACCTCCGCCACAACAACGCCCACTACTACCAAGCAGAAAAATAATAGTAGCTTCATGGTGCTGAAATTCGTCGAAGACTGGTACTATAATCTCCGTTGGTCCTGTATTTATACTAATAAGTTTAGTGGAAGGGATAAAGGAATAAATGATTCATTCTTATCATAAAATTCCTAACGTTTATATTGCTAGATAATTAAAATTTTAATGTTTTTCATTTTGATTAGAACTCTCCATAGCTAAATTAATTAGGACCGTGAAATATAGCTTTGTTTATATCACTTGGGAAATATCGAGTTTTAAATTTTAAATATGATTCCCTGCTTGTGCTGGGTCTTTTCAGTTATCTGCATGCAGCTATTTTGCATCTTTATCAATTATATCTATCAATCTACTTATTGGCCTTCCACGTGGTCTTTTGCTTTCTATTGAGGCATTCATTGTTACCTAGAAGCTTACAGATGGATTGCTACGAGCTACTTACCCCTCCCATCTTAGCTTCTGTGCCTTCATGTGATTAGATATTGATTCATCAGATCTTTATTGGCCTTTTTTATCCATGTGCTAGTTTTCTGAACTCAGATTGCTCGGTTATTGTGCTGGGTTTTTTTCTCTTAAATCTTTGAATAATTTTTAATATGGAGCTGGAAAGTGTCAAATTCTCACTGATATATATCAGAACTGTTGTTTTTTTTCAAAGCATTGTACACCATTAATTTGACATTTTTCGGGATTTAAATACCTTCGAAAGGGAGAAGAAAGCTATGTTTTCGTTAGTTATACGCAGATCTAATTATAAGTCTACCCCCACCAGTCCAGACTCACCACATCGCACCAAGCGCCATTTTCGAAGATCAGCTGTTGGGCGCAGCTGAGTAATCGATCGAGATCGATACATATCGATACCACCCCACCATTGGGCAAACCTCAATAGGCTCACTCTGAACGCTGAGAAGACAAAAGCCATCTTGATCGGATCCCCTTCACTCCTCAAATCCTCCCCAGTATCTCCCAATCTCTTCCTGAACAACTCACCTATCTTATTCAACACCACCGTTAAAAAGTTAGGTGTTACTTTCGATCAATCCCTATCCTGGAAACCTCACATCTCCCAAATTTCCCGTCGCACTATCTCCACCCTAAAACAGTTCAATCGTCTACGATATCTCCTTCCATATAAGTCCCGTCAACTCCTAGTTTCCTCCCTTGTTTTCCCCCACTTCGACTATGGCTGTATGGTGTACGGTGGACTCCCGGGAGATTCCGAGGCCAAACTTAAACGCCTAATGAATTGCGCACTACGATTTGTTTTCGGAATCTCAAGGGATACGCATATTACCCAGTATTACACTGAGTTGAGGTGGCTCTACCCATCCTATCGCCGTCAGTACTTCCTAGCCACCTTTCTGTACCAAATTATTAGAACCCATCGACCCTCCTATATTTTTCACAGCTTACAATTCAAATATTCCATCCAATCCCGTCCCACCAGATCTCGTACTTCCGACCTCTATCCTCCTCCTCACCGAACTGCTGCGTTTGACAAATCCTTTGCAATACAAGCCGCCTCCCTCTGGAATTCCATCCCAGCTGATATTCGACACGCTCAATCAGTTTCCTCGTTTAAACCACTCCTCTTTAAGCACCTACTCCTTTCTCAATCCGAATGATTGTGAAATATATCTTATAGAAATATCTGAGCACCACCAGAGACTACCTCAATTTATTAAGGTTATTTTAGTTTCTCATACATATGTACAATTTACTTGTTCTTTTTTTTCTCTTTTCTGTATTTTTATCGTAAGTCAACTTTCATTGTAAATATACAATTTAATTGTAGCCACACAGACATATAATCTGTATTCATATTTTGTTCTTAAGGGACAACAGTCCCAGAATAATAAAACATTTTTTTTCATTTTCATTTTCATTTCATTTTTCACCATCGATTACTCGACAGCTAGACATCGAAAGGTAACCATGTGGAACCTCCAACCTGGCTCGTATTTTTGTTTTATTCTACCAAGACATTGAACATTAAGTTATTTTTCGGTCCTCTCAATAAATTAGTTTGTTATTTTTCTTTCTATTGATTTTGTTTATGATTTTAGAAGTTGAGTTTTTTTATATTTGTTATTATTGGTTAAATTCTTTTATTTTCTTTGGATGTTATCTTTTATGTTTTATTTTTCTAGTAGCTTTCCAATATTGTTTATCTCAATTTTATATAAATTTATATCTCCTTTTTTTATCTCAATAAATTGTAAACGTTCAAAAGGGGATTTTTCATTTTCTATTTTTTGATTTATTAAACATTTCTATTTAATATTATTTTGTTTTGCATGCATTAGTTTTTTTTTTATGTTTTCAAGTCTCATTTTACTCTTTTTATTTTTTCCTACTTTCCCAACATTTAATTTTTCTCGAATTTTCTCATCTTTGAGGAACCTCACCGGGGAAGGGTTTGTGTTTTAATTTTGAAAATACCCCCGGCCCCAACAGAGAGTTCTAATCAAAATGAAAGACATTAAAATTTTAATTATCGAGGAATATAAAAGTTAGGAATTTTATGATAAGAATGAATCATTTATTCCTTTACCCCTTCCACTAAACTTATTAGTATAAATACAGCACCAACGGAGATTATAGTACCAGTCTTCGACGAATTTCAGCACCATGAAGATAGTATTATTTATCTGCTTGGTAGTAGTGAGCCTTGTTGCGGCGGAGGTATGGCCATTATATAATGAATTATTTTAAATTAGATGAAATAGACAAAAAATGCTTAGTAAAAGTATTTAAATTACTTCTTTTTAAGTACTTAATTTTTTTTTATTTCGAGTCATGTATACTCCAATTGGCAATAAGAAAATTGGTAGTTTCTAGCAAACTCTTGCTCAAAACCCGACAGGTGCAAATCGGTCTATTTATTTACGCTGTTAACGTGTTTTTCGATCACCAAATCTTAATGACCAAATTTAAAATCTAAACCTTCGTACACTCATAGTGGGACATCTTTCAACAAAAAAATCTTTCTATATAAACTATAATTTTTAATAAGAACATAGACCGTAGTAAAATATTTGCGAACTCAATTTAAGGACTTAGCGTAGCTAGCTAGTCGACCTTTCACAATTTCTGAATTAATTTTATTTTACATATTTTATTTATTCACGCATGGATTTTGTTTTTCCTTCGAATTAATAATAAGGGAAAATTTGAAATGATACTTTCTCTCTATCTCTATTTTTATTGCGAGGGAGTTACGAATGCTACTAAAAGTTATTCAATCTTTGTTTTTTTATATTGTGGGAATTCTATTTTTAACATTAAGTATATTTTGTTTTTGTTTAATTTATTCAGATTGGATAATTTTATGACAGTAACTTAAATTTCTTAACTGAGATAAATATTATTTCCTTTAATAAATATTTCAGCATTGTATTATTTATGCTTATCTCTAACGTATGATTTCATTTTACTTTCACATATCTACGTTGCTCTTTGTAATTACAGTAAAAGTAAATGTTGTATACTTGATTATTGACCGTTGTATATTATTGATTGCGGAGAGGATCCCAGGTGATAGTCATAAAAACAAATTAAAAATAAAAACAATTTTTATTTCAATCCAACGTGTCGAAATCACTTTCCAGTTTTTCTTCAGGGTTAAAACGACCAAGCTACAAAAGATAAAAACTAGAGAGAAATAAAAAAGGGTTTAGAATATGCAGAATTATGTCATAGTCCTAGGAAATGGCTACCGCCATATTTCATTTTTTTTAAAGAAAGGAAGTCCTTATATTATAACGAATACATAATGTTTACGAACAACCATCATATTAAATATATTTTTCTCTAGGATAAAGTGGATGAAAAGCGCTACCCGTACCCGTACTGCGTTGGTGTTGACTGCAACAACTGCTACTTTAGTCAACACGACTGCAACTACTGTTGTAGAGGCGTCCCCATCGACTGCTACTTCATCAACTGTCTCACCTGCGACATCAAGTACTGTGGACACTGCTGTGGTTTCGCCAAAGAGTCAGAAACAGTTTCATAATGTAAACCTATTTTCATTGATATAATTAACAAAAATAAATTGTGATAACAATTACTTGTTTAATTCATAATTCAAATTCCATTGACATTCTTCTATTCCTACTAGTTTGTTTATTCCATTTCAGAGATGGTAACATAAATACTTTTCTGTTATGTTTCTTTACTATTCTTCAAGGCATTAAGCTTAAATGTCTTTTATTTTATTCTAGGCTGATATAAGTATTAAAGTTTTATTAAGATTTAAGTCAATTCAAGAAAAAAAAAATGTTATCAATTATCCGTCCTTGCATAGGTAATAATATACTTTTCTTTGACGATAATCTCTTTATAATTCATTTTACAAATACTGAAACTTTTGGTGCATCTACACATATCCAAGATGTAATGAATATTAATTTTATTTGTTAGAAATAAATATCTAAAAATTGTAATAATTTGATATAAATTCAATCTGAGACAAAGAACACTGTTCAAATAATTTATTTTTTAATTAGAAAAAATATGATACATGTCATGTTGATTATGTGTCAATGGTAAAAATATATATGTTAGAAATTTACTAACCTGTTTTTGTTTCTTACTTTTAGTTTCCATTCCCTTGCAACGATTAATTTTAATATTATGTTGCTGATTACTAATTACCTTCTTTCTATAAGGTTCGAAGAATTGCAATTTGTAATTTTTATGATGAGTTTAATGTTAAAGTGAATTATGGGGTTCTGGTCTTCTAATTAAAAACATAGAAATAATCAGTTAAATATTTTTTTTTTTTAGTTTTAATGTTTTATTCACACATGTCATAATGCTAATGACAACCAGTGAATGTGAGATCGATTGATTAATAGAATTGTCATGAAAGGCATGAGGAGGATCAGTGCCCAGCGGCACCTCACTCGGCGTGATATCTACATTAGGCGAGGAGGTCCCTCATCCAGCTCCTCTTCAGTCTCCTACAGACGTTACCGGGCATATTCGTAGTGGCCATGTCATTTATAAGTGTATTAGTATGTCCTTGTAAGTTGTCATGGAATCGTTTGTAATGAATACGTATGTGTTTGTTAATAGTCGGCATATGGAGGTCAGTATGTAAGGTTATGTTGCTAACGTACCAAGGTGCTTTTGTAATTGTTCTGAATGTTTTTGCTTGAAAGATTTGAAGTTTGTTTAAGTGAGTCTTTTTAGCAGTTCCAAATATCTGTGATGCGTAAGTCCAAATAGGTTTTAGTAAGTAATTGTATGTGTTCAATTTCTGTCTAAGTTTTAGTTTTGAATTTTTTGAAAGAAGTGAACTCAGAATTCTTAATCTTTGATTTAAAGTTTTTCGTTTTTTGATTATATGTGGGCCCCACGTCATTTTTCTGTCAAATGTCAGACCAAGGTAGTGAACGGTGTCTGTCTGTGGAATATGTGTATCGTCAAGGAAAACTGGAGGGCATGTTTCATGTCGAAGCGTAAATGTGATGTGCTGTGATTTGTCTTGATTTAGTCGGATTTTCCAAATTAGTTAAATATAAATTAAAAACAAGTTTTTTATGTTGCATACTGAAATAATTAACTAAATAAATTTTATTTTAAAATTAATACTAATTGTATTTTCAATTCGTTTTATTATTATTATTATTGATATTAAACGAACTGCTTTAAATTTAATTTAAAATATCCATCATCATCAGAAATGCTAAAACACCTGCAATAAATCTGCTGAAAAAAAAGGAATAGTATTTATTTGTATAACAGTTTAGTGAATTTTCTTAACTAAGACCTATGGGCAACTTGCACTAGTCTCTGATACGTCTTTGGAGGTTTATTTAATAATAATAAAGTCTCAACCACACAAAGTCGAAGAAAAATATAGAGCCTTTATGTCTTCCTGGATGACATCTACCGTTGATGAAGAGGGTTGTTAGTTTCTGATAACTTCCCTCTGAAAATGTTACTAACATATTAGGTTATTATGGAAATTTGCGAAATGTATCGGACAGACATGTAACTGTTTGTCGATATTCATCAGCTCTGTCTTATAATAATAATAAAATCAGCCACTATTGGAGGGCTATAAGTATTAAGGCTAAAACTTCCTATTTATACAATATATACAAATAATAGTGATGAAAAAGTAAATAAATAATACTTATACAAAAGTAAATAAATAAGAAAAAATAAACAAATAAAATAAAATAAAAACTTCTAAACACATTGAATATCTATAACAGTATGTGTAGGCAGCGGGAGTTCAAATGTGAACCAGCAAATGTGCTCTATCAAATCCATAGGTTTTTGATTTATTAATTAATTAATTATAATCCTTTAAAAATATTAAAAAGAAATCCATTGAGGATAAATATGTATAAAAAAGCGTAATAGCAGAAAATATAAATATATATTGAAAATAAAAAACAAATGAAATGAAATGCTACAAATTAATACATGAAATAATAAATTAATAATATTAATCTTGATACAAAATAATAATGAATGAGAGAAATAAAATATTGCTATAAACATTTAACAAAAGGAAAACAACCTCAAACTTATGAATTAATTTTACAATGTTCTAGGTCTGTTTTGTTATTAAAATAATTAATAACTATTATTTAATGAAAATGCAATTAACCCAGATGTTAATTTAATTGTTTTAAAAATTATATTACACGAGACCATAATTTATATTTATATAAATCTAAAATTATAATATTTAATATATAAAAAAAAAAGAGAATGATGAAAACCAGGTACTGAACCTGACAATTTAGTATTGTAAAGTAAGATACTAGCCATTTCACTATTGAGTGCTCTGAAGTGGCGTTGCAACAAGTAACATATAAGACAGAGTTCAACCTCATTGTGATGTGTTTAATTGATAAAATAATGTTTTTATTTCCTGATGATAACATCTGAGTTTTAGAGGGGCACCACTCACCTTAAAGCTCTTCTAAATTAAAATACACAAATTCACCTCCTGCCGACCCATATTACGTCTTGCAGCTGACGAGAGTTCTCCTGCAGGATAATGCCCCAGAGGCGGGAAGTCGCCGTCACCACCTGGTGGGATGAAACCATTGGGTTCGCCAGGTACATTGTGACGGGTCGGAGAACATGATAAGGTCAGTTCCATACCCATTGCTGCCAGCAGCCATACTGATTTCGCTATGTTTTCTTTTAACTCTGGTATTAAGTGATACGACGAGAGGCGGACTGACCCGGAACTGGCCGAAAACATCGTCGCTGGGATGTAACTATACAAATATATGTAAATAAATAAAGACCTACATGTAAATAAAAACATTTTCCATATAATGATACGAAAACAAAAACATAAACAAAATACATAATATATGCTATTCACAATCAAAACAACATCGACCCCCCATATTATGATATGGCAAAAACAAAAAATAAAATTATACATGTTGGCGTCAACACGGTATACGAATTTGGGCAGGAATCTCCGATCCATGCTTTTCCCCCACATGTGGAAGACCAAGCAGGACTCCAGGAGATCCCAGTGCCACTCTTCCAGTCGCATCACTAGGATTTTAAGCCAGTAGAGACTGAAAGAGGGCACTTTGAGCCACAGACGCTCAGGAATTGAGTGGAAAAGCTGGCCATTACCAGGACTCCAAAGGCATATTTACAGGAGATCTTGAGGCCACTGCAATTTTTACCTTCGAGGAGGATGGTATGGATGCTCGGATTTGGAAAGAAAGGATTGGTGATAATGAATAAGGTTCGGTTGAAAGTTTGAGAATCTGAATGGGATATTTCAAGGACATATGGGAGGTTAAGGTCACGGTTCAGGTCATCGTGACATAATATGGAGATGTGACTATTGTTCGAACGACTTTGGAATGAAAGAATTGTATACGTTTGATATTCGACGATTTAATTGTTCCCTATGGTTCAAGTCTGTAGGTTCAGACAGGTTTCTGTATGGTCTTGTATATTAATAGTTTGTTTTCTGTTGAGAGATGATATGTTCAGTTTAGTAGTCTATATAGCTGACCAAATTGCCGCATAAGCTCTTGTCTTTTAGCGTTAGTCCATTGTCTAGAATGAAGCCAAGGTATCGGGCTGAGTCTGAATAGGGAAGAGGAATTTAGTTAAAAAGGATTGGCGGACAGGATCTGCGTCGAAAAGTGGAAGTGATATGTTCGCATTTTGATTCATTAATTTTGATGCGCCAGTTGTTGAACCACTGCTCAACAAAGGAGAGGTTTCTTTGTAGGTTTCGGGATGCTGTTAGAGGATTTGAGATATCTGTTCGACATACAAAGGTAGATTTCTACATCAACCACATGAGGTAGGAGCATTCCCTGAGGGTAGTTATCGGGAACTGACACCCTCTACACCAGCTGTAGAGTTGTTAGAGCGAGAACTCAATGATCTACATTTTTCTTCGATTTAAAACATACACCAGGAGTTGATAAAACATATGAAATTAAAACATTGTATTACACAAGAATAAATTTTGAAAAAACATGCATTAAGATAGAAATTGTTCAGTGATTTTACTCTATTGCTTCTGTGGCCGAGTAAGTGACTCAGTTTGTTGATCTTGTTTTTGACTGTGACGTTCAAAAACCGAATCGATTGTAAGAAGAAGAAGAAAAATAAAAATAAATTTTATTCTGAGATTAAATGCCCTTAGAATAACTACAGTGTAAAGTTTAATGATAGCTGTTTTAGTTGTATTAGACATAATATACGAAAATTAGTAAAAGAAATCATGAAAAAACTGATGAAAGAACTTTCTAACAGTAGAAAGACGGAGGAGTGAGTAGTGAAGAGTGGGAGATCGACAGGAAAATGTTTTTCTACTACGCATCTTTCTCCCCATCAACTCTCCCGCAAACTCATCTTAGATTCACTAAACCTCTTTATTTGTAAATTCATTAATTCAGACATCAATTCGTGAAACCTTTGTGTAAACACCTATAATCGTTTAGTTAAGCGAAAAAAGAAAACTGGAGAGCATTCAAAAAATAAATTTTGACTGAGATATAAAAGCTAAAAACGTCACATAGCATTTGCTGAATCTATTTGCAGTATGTCAAAAATACCTCTTATTGATGATGCATTGGTGGTTATAAGTTATGAAAATACAGAAAATAAACGTTTCATTATACAGGCAATAAAAAAATTAAACTTAAATAATTAGACATTTTTGTACAACTTGATGAATTTGGGAATTTCTCTAGAAACAACAAGATACACTTAAATTAATGCATTCAGGTAAGATTCATTCAATCAATAATTCAAGCTAATGATTTATCAATTACACGAGTGTAAAAA